GCTTACAGCACGTGGACACGTCTCTAACCAAAGAACCTGTAGAGTAGGTTAAGCTTACAGCACGTGGACACGTCCCTAACCAAAGAACCTGTAGAGTAGGTTAAGCTTACAGTACGTGGACACGTCCCTAACCAAAGAACCTGTAGAGTAGGTTAAGCTTACAGTGCGTTGACACGTCTCTAACCAAGGATCATCTTGAGTAGGTTAAGCTTACAGCACGTAGACACATTTCTAATCAAGGATCATCTTGAGTAGATTTAGCTTACAGCACATGAACACGTCTCTAAACAAGGATCATCTTGAGTAGGTTAAGCTTACAGCTCGTAGAAACATTTCTAATCAAGGATCATCTTGAGTAGACCACGTGCTGTAAGCTTAAACACGTCTCTAACCAAAGAACCTGTAGAGTAGGTTAAGCTTACAGCACGTGGACACGTCCCTAACCAAAGATCCCGTAGAGTAGGTTAAGTTTACACCGTGCGATTACCTATCTTCGTGTACATACCAGCCTTCTTTCTCACAAAAATTCTCTACCGACGTATCTCACATTCAAGAGAATTGGTTTCTTTGTCTCTCCCTCTTTCTATTTCTTTTGTAATTGTAGCATATATTTAGTATTTTAAGTCCATATCATCACTGTCTATTGCATTGAATGTGTTAATAAAAGCACAGAAACATTAGAAACTAAACAATTTATGCTCATGAGAAAAGTCGCTCCAATATACTAAAGCACATGGAATCAATCTACTCCTATCTAAGATGTAAACTTTATAAACTCACTAGCGTTTCTTCTTATTCTAGTGTGTTTCAGGCACACGCCAGTAGAACTCACATTTAAATTGTAATAATGAATGGAAAGTGAAGACAAATGACACTTAATTGACTGTATAACTGATGTGCGTTTGGTAAGTAGCGGAGGCAATGATAGAAGAGGTTTTGAGTACATGATGTGTTTCTTATGTCAACAGTATCTATTAAGCTACGGATATCCGACTCGTAGCCACATCTTCCTGATAACAGTGCTGATAAACTATTTGTTTTATCTAGGAAGATATAATCTAAACAAATTATTATTATCTTCTGTCTACATTTTCTGAATACTATGTTTGGGAATGTTTTATATTTTCTTTTAAACTATTGTTTGCAAACGATGTAGGTATTCTTCTCTAAACAATTTAAGTAAAAATATTTATTTTTCAAATGACAAGCAAACAAATATACTTCTTCAAATTGTTTTGTGAGAGACATCGTTAATATCTACTAAGCAAGAACAACGTAAAACCGTTTAGACATTCAAAAAAATATCCCACAAATCTTTACTACTTGTCTAGTTTCTCTGCAGAGATGGATAAGACTTGATACGACTCTGCATGAGAGACAACTGAGAACTGGATCCCTTCAGAACCTCTTTACATTACAGTGTAGACATGGATAAGACTTGATACGACTCTGCATGAAAGACAACTGAGAACTGGATCCCTCCAGAACCTCTTTACCTTATAGTATAGAGATGGATAAGACTTGATACGATTCTGCATGAAAGACAACTGAGAACTGGATCCCTCCAGAACCTATTTACCTTACATAAAACAAAGTGTCCTGTTTACTAGTTAAATGATACACTCCATTCTCCTCACTTGACAGCTGTTTAACGTGTTTTGAGCTATCCTCCTGAGAGAAAAATCTCGGATCAATCTTACTAGGTCGAATATTTTACCTTTAACCTTAGGAGCTGAACGTAGATTATCTATTCACAGGATAACTACTTTAGCTTCAGATAGAAACTCAAATCCTAAGGATACTCTTAATAGTATTATAACTTAATATCTGAATGTAAAGTATGTGGTATTCAACGGTAACATTGTTGTAACAAGCCTTCTAATAATTACTTCAATACTTTGTTATCAGTCTATTCAGTTTAATAATTAAAAATTGGAAATTACTAGCATAAAGACCATATGTTGTTTAACGCGCTATCTAACCAAGATGGCTTCATGCTTATATAATTATAGTGTGATAAACCAGTAGTATAATACAAGGAATTTGTGAAAAAACGTCTTTAGATGACCAGGTTTTTATCATAAATTTCAATTTCTATTGGTATCTAATACTTCACCAGCTATTGGCATTTAAACAGTAACTTTTTTATTTAATGTATATATAAATAGCGTTTCAGAGAATTTTTCATCTTTCACCTTCTAGCCCAAGTTGGGAGTTTTGGTATTAAATGATAGGCCTCTTGAGTAGTGACTTGTGGGTGACAAAATATCGATCTGAAATGCTATTTTTACACGTCTCTGATTCTGAGTCCGAAATATAAAATTGAAAGAAAAATTTTAGAAACAAAAACTTCCAGAGTTTACAACACTTTTATCACAAATTTTAGGTTCGCCAGAAATTTTAATAATATTATCCTTCGTAAGTTAGTTGTGTAAAGCTGGCACGTCTGTAAAAATGGTAGAGACTACAAAAAGACGAAAGGAAGATTTGGCTAGATTATATTGTAAAAGAGAGAAAGCTATTTAGTTATAGCTTTTGAAATTTTTATGCCACGTTATACTTCTTGAGCTTCAAGTCTCCTTGTACTTCTCTAAATCAAAATATCCCTTATGTAAAGTTATCTGTTAATCTATATGTACTCCCATGCATAAGACCAACATCAATTTCTTACGCTATAATACAAACATCTAAACAAATGCTGGACCATTAAAACAGGACTATGTACTTTTGTAAGTATATTATAAAAGAAGACCACCGTGTTTAAAAACTCATATATATATATATGTCGGTGATTCTATGTTCAATATAACTATGTTCTGCCTTACCAAAAGACTAAAAACTTAAGACTTATTTCAAAGTTTAGTAAATGAAATGTGTTTGGGATCAATAAACAGTAGAAGCCTGTAACAAGAAACGCGCTCGTATATTTTCTCGATACTTTTAGACACTCAATTAAAATTATTATGATGTTAGAAATGTCAAATAATTTATGTTTAAATAACGGCTCTAGTGAATCATCTTCTAACTGTGTTCTAAGGTTCGTATATCGAAGACAAATTTTGAAAAGGTGTTACAGCTGGAAACGTTAGACCAAGGAAACACAACAAAAGCTTTATTTTGGTGTATACTCGTTTTAAATATCCTACCATTGTTCTTTACATATTTCTAGAATAACTTCAAGTAACAAGAATGTCATTTGTTTCTTCCAGAAAAGGTAAAAAGAGTTTAGTCTTAGTTTTCATATAATTTAATTTATATGATGTTTTTATAATGATTTTAAAAGCTTTGCAATTCATCAGATTTCTGTTGAAAAATTGGGCTTGGAAAGCAAGGAAAAATGATATCGTCATTTTGTCAAGTTATATATCATGCATACCTGTAACCTTATATCCTTCTGTGATTTATTAATTTCAAAGCTGAAGAAGATTTTCCAACGTAATTGTATCGTATTTTGCGTTCTGTAATAAGATGAATGTTTTTTGGCCAATAAACAATGTGTTATATGTGTTTTCGATTTCATCACTTATCAAGAAGGTTTCTGTTCCATAATAAATTAGTTCATTATTTATTGATATAAATAGTTTATTACTTTCGCCACCGAAGGTGATTAGAGGTTATGTTTTCACCTCTGTCAGCAAGATTTCTCGAAAACAGCTAAATGGATTTGGACTAAAGTCAGTATATTGGACTATGACCCAACCTAGAACTGATTAGTTTTGGAAGGTCAAGGTCACAGCAGGGTCACGAAAATCAAAAAAATTCTTATCTGTTAACATGGGTACCGATTTTTCACACTATTTTTGCTCCATAACCCAGTCAAAAATGATCGGATTTTGATGAAACGTAGTGGAGACATGTAGAATATTATTATCCTGCAAAAAAGTGGTCCGGGTGCGTCGATAACAACGGACCTAAGGAATGTCCCCTTTAGTTTAAATAGGAAATCATTTGTGTCGCTAAACATATGATATATATATCAAACTTTTGGATATTCTCACACTCATAGAAATTTGCTGATTATTGTAGGCTTTCATGTGAAAAAGAAAACAGGCAGATCCTTTAACGTAGAGTGTAACTATGGAATCTTATATTCCGGTTAACCCTGAAGCGTTTATTGGAACATCCGATAGTCACCGAGGAGCCTGGTTATGCAAATACTGAATATAACTTGTAGATTCTAACACCCGACTGCTATAAAAGTTAATTATCACATATGTATACATAAGTTATCGTATTATCTGTACAGTTAACGACTAAAAGATACCTAATAAAATGATGACTCAAACATATGACTATGTTAAGGCAGCTCTCCCACATGTTTAGAAAAAAGCACAAGTTAAGCTACTGATGATATGTAGACAGAAAATTTAAGAGCTCATTGTGTTACTAAGGTAAACTGGAATGGCGGGACTCATTGGTTGAGCATCTACATTTGTAAATTCAATGTAAGGTTTCAAAGTTTTTGAATTTTATAAGTTTCAAAATACATTTATTCACCGAGTATAAGAGTTTTCGTTCCTAGCACGCTGTTTTACTTTAAGAAAAATGTCTTCAGAATTGACAACTAAAACAATCTAAAAAGATTGAAAGGTTCTTCTCAGTTGTCTTAATTATTTCACGTTTAAAGCTACACATTTAAATGGAAAATGTGTCACTCTGAAACTATTAATAACCCATTTGGTTTGCATGAAACGAGTAATATATTAACCATATCATAAACTTATATGATGGCATATGAAATAGTAACATCATATGAATATTTGATGGTTCTTAAAATCAGGACTACGTGATAATTCCAAATATTCTAAATAATTTCCTAAATCGATCATAGCTTTTACTCATCACTCTCCAACTATAAAGGGGCCCCCAGTGTCACAGCGGTATGTCTGCAGACTTACAACGCTAGAAAGCGGGTTTCGATACCCGTGGTGGGCAAAGCAGAGATAGCCCATTGTGTAGTTTTGTGCTTAATTAGAAACAAACAAACTATAAAGAAAGCAACACATAAAGTTTATTCAAAATAGTTTAAGCTTGATATTATGACAAGACTTTTACGTCTATCTTATGTTATTTATTTAAAAGTAATTGAATATTTTCTTCAATAAACTCAGATTGTTGGCCAAGAAACATCATTTACTGAACGAACCAGGTGGGTGTCACCTGGCTTACTTCGTTCTCAGATTTAATAAAACACGTTGGTTAGACGGTTATTGTATGACACTAACTCTTATGCTCTTTCCCCACCCATATTTTAAACTGCTTCAGGTATTTTGGTTTCCATAGTTTATTTGGTGGATTATAACCTAGAAACAACACCTCTATTTTTCGGGAGTGCTCATATCAGATCTAAGCGTATTTAATTAGTGCATTTTTTTACTTTCCATATTTCCACTCGTTAACAGAGGCTACGAATGAAAACCTAACCATATCATAAATCTCTTGGAGAGCAAAAGGCGATGGAATATGATTAGCAGGTGGCGCAACGCCCGTTTAAACCCGTGAAAATTGTTTGTTTGTTTGTTTGTT